CGATTATTCCAATTGTATGAACGTGGAGGTGATTTTCTCCTCTTGTAATACAATTATAGCCTTGACTTTATCTTTCATTTAATGAAAAGCGTTTACATCCTTTGTCTATGTTTTTTTGTTCATTTCTTTAGTTAATTAATTCAATTCTTGCTCAACTTCTTCAAGGATTACATCTTTACTTATTTGTTGTTGTTACATTGGCAAAGTTATCAAAGTCTAATCAGTAATACTAGGGGCCGCCCCTTAATATTCTAGAATAAGATAGAGTATTTGACTTGTTGGTAAAGAACAACATTTATCTCAAAAACTACTCATAAATTTAGGCCCTATTCACTTTACCTTGAAAAATACTCCCTCCATCCCTTAATATAAAGCCTCATTTCCTTTTTGGGTAAACCAAAATACAATGCCTCTTTCTATTTAAAGGTTGTATTTTTTGACATTATTACCCACTTTTTATGAGTTGTCAACTTTTTCCTTTACTTTTTTGTCTTTTCAGCATTAATTCCCAACACTTTCTCTCTCTATCTCTTTAATTATTCCCAACTACTAATTCTTTCTCTCTATCTCTCTCTAACCCCACATGCACATATGTGCTTTTAATCATTAGTTTTACAAAATTTACAACTTTCACAATTCCTGCACTAAAACCAAAAGAGGCTTTGTATTAAGGGATGGAGGGAGTAATATTCATCAATAAAAATAATTTCAATTCAGCAAAAATAATTTATGTTCAATATAAATTAATAATGTAGGTTTAGCAAATATAATTTCAGTTATTCAGTATGAATAAGGTGAAGCAAACAGTGCCTTAATTAATATTTGGACATCCAAAAAAATTAAAATAATTTTGGGAAATCCTGTTTGGTAACAATGTATTATTTAATTTTCTCAGTGGTGTAGACGTCGCTCGAAGTGCGCCTACGTTAAAGCATGTGTGAATATGCTTGGCACTCTTAGGAAGTTGGAATTGACATATATGATTAGGGACAAGGAAAGTAGGGAGCCGCCAACAAGTTTTTAAGGAACTTGTAAATCGTTCACGGATCATAAAAGGCAACCACGATTAAGGGACAACGATAGGCAACAACGATTGACCCGTGAAGGTTATACCCCATTCATAATCCATGAGATTACTAACTCCATATGGTTCGGAACCACGAAAGGAGGATCGGGGAAGTTGGTACGAAGTGAGTCATTGAGTCACATTCGCCCGTATTGGCCTCTACTCGATTCTTATATTGAAAAGCACTCCTGTGATCTCAAAGGCATACAAACAAAATATTCAATTCGCTCCAAACTATTATTTAACTAAATTGGTTTAAGATTAATGCACACATAATTCTAAAATATTGGTGATCACTTCAATTAATAATAAGATTAAAAGGATCCTAAACCGGTTGTCCAAATTATCTTATTAGGCGTGATTTTCAATTACATATTCCCTTTAAACATGCAATATGTAATCAATAAATATAATAGAACACCATTAATATTCAAACCAAATTAATAACAATTCCAACAACATAAAATCGTTAGAAAAATAATAAAAATAAAAGGAGCATGAATCTTACTTTGATTCTGTTTGTTTGCAACTACAAAATAATAAACGAGTTAGTAACTTCAAGGAAATAAATAAACAATAATTAAATTAAATTAAACAAAATAAAGTTGATTTTGGGGCCAAACCCTCAAACAGTTCTACCTTTCACGCCTTGGTTTAAGGACAGAACCTCGAGTAAAATATGGACTCCTTTGAGTGCTTGAAGAAGGAATTTTGAAGTGAAAAAGGTAGGCTAGTGTTTAGGCTAAATCATAGAAGAGAGAAAATAAAACAATAGAATTCCTCCGTGCCCCCGTTCATCAGAAATGAGGGGGTATTTATAGGGAAAATGTGCTGAGGGAGCACACGGAACCCTAAAATGATAAAAACCCTAAAAAAGTATCCCGTGACACGGTCAAACTGTACCGTGACACGGGAAGCCCCACCGTCAGACGGTACACATTCCCGTGACACGGTACACTTTTGGCGTGACGCGGGAAATTTTCAGAAAACGGGATAGAAAACGCGTCAAGGGTTTACGCAGAAAAGACACGGAATGTCCCGTGTCACGGCAAACCTCCGTGTCACGGGAAATCCCACCGTCAGACGGGAAGGATTCCCGTGACACGGTGGCAGTCTGCCGTGGCGCGGGAATTTCCAGTCCATTTTCCGTCTAAATACATTTTTAACCCTAATTTCCTTTGGCTTTTTAAGTGTCGATTGATAATTTCGGGACTTTTCTGACTTTTATTATTCGGGCTAAAATAAGAAAATAATTAAATAAAAATAAATAAAAGGTTTGGGCCAAAAATAAATAATAAAACAACAAAATAAAAAAGGTTTGGGCTGAAAATTAATTAATAAGTTTGGGCTGAAATTAAAACTATGCTTTTACCAAACATCAAGACTAATCCATGGATTGTTCAAAAATATGAATTTAATAAAATACGATTTTTTAAGCACTCTCGGGATTAAATACTGAACCCGACCAATAGTGGCGGTGAAAGGTTGTTCATCATCGGGTTTGGTTTTGGGGAGACATTTTTAGGTGTCTATAGAAGCCCCCACTTTGACTGAGTTTGTAGAAACGTCAGTTTCGAAAATGATAGTCAAAGTAGCCGATAGGGACGGAGAATGATTTAAGACGTTCTGCGATCTTAAATCACTCTGTATACGCCGATACCTGCAGAAAAATGTTAGTTCCACAGATAAAAGAATAAAGGGATAGAATACGTATCTGGCACCAGTGTATCGGTGACAAACGAATTTGGCAGCTTCCTAAGCTTGAAGGAATCCACCGGATGACGTATGTTGAAATGCTTTCCATGCTTGAGGAAAATCGTCAGACGAGTTTGGTAGCTTTCTAAGCCTGAAGAAACCTACCGGATGACACTTTTCATGCTTGAGGAAAGTCGACGTATGAATTTGGTGTCATTCTATGCTTGAAGAATTCTACCGATAATGCCTTCCATGCCTGAGGAAAGCCGACTACTTGGCGGTTTTCTATACTTGAAGAAAAATCCACCGATAACGCTTTCCATGCTTGAGGAAAGCCGACTTGGCGGTTTTCTATACTTGAAGAAAAATGCACCGATAACGCTTTCCATGCTTGAGGAAAGCCGACTTGGCGGTTTTCTATACTTGAAGAAAAATCCATCGATAACGCTTTCCATGCTTGAGGAAAGCCGACTTGGCGGTTTTCTATACTTGAAGAAAAATCCACCGATAACGCTTTCCATGCTTGAGGAAAGCCGACTTGGCGGTTTTCTATACTTGAAGAAAAATCCACCGATAACGCTTTCCAAGCCTGAGGAAAGCCGACTTGGCGATATTCTATACTTGAAGAAAAATCCACCGATAACGCTTTCCAAGCCTGAGGAAAGCCGACTTGGCGATATTCTATACTTGAAGAAAAATCCACCGATAACGCTTTCCAAGCCTGAGGAAAGCCGACTTGGCGATATTCTATACTTGAAGAAAAATCCACCGATAACGCTTTCCAAGCCTGAGGAAAGCCGACGATTGCTGAAATTTGTAAGTCTATGATGGTTCGATTATCCCCGAACGTGGACCGCAGATGTTTCACAATTTTAAGCCGATTATCCGACCATATTAAGTGCTTAAAATGCCGAAAAATAGACTTTGATGTTTGCTAGGGGTAAAATGGTAATTTTAGCCCCCTTAAATATCAGTTAGAATTTTCCGCGTAATTCTAGCGAAAAATAATTGCCTAATAAGCTCGAAAAATCATTCAAATTGGTAAAAAATGTCAGGAAATATTCGCTAACAATGCACAGAGTCCGCCGTGCCACGCCACCACTTTGCCGTGACACGGGAACTCCTCCCGTCAGACGGGACAAAATCCCGTGTCACGGGAATATTTTTTTCTGCTTTTTTTTTTTTTGTTGAATTGGTCAACGTGAATCAGCGCGCCACGTCGGTAGTGTACTGTTACACAATAACGGTAACCGTGGCACGGTAACCGTGGCACGGTGAACGGGGTTTGCAACAGCTACTTTTTTGCTTTAAATTCACGTTTTTGCTTCACCATTTCGCCATTTCTCATCTGATTCTCACTCCAAAAAGTTCAAAAAATTTCCTTGGGTTCCTGTGTCTCGTAGAGTGTTCACCGGTGCTCGGTTTGTCTTCCCGTCGGCCGGTTTCCACCACCATGTCGCGGCCTTCCTACATTCTCTCTCTCTCCTCTTTTTTTTTTTTATTTTCTTGCTTTTTGCTGCGGGTTGCTGCTGCTAATTTTTGCTGCTGCTGTTGCTGTCTTTCTCCGGGGCTGCCGTCGGGGTCACCGGAGCTTCGTCGCCTTTTGAGCTTACCGTGACGCGGGACAGCCTCGCCGTGTCACGGATTCTGCTGACCGTGTCGCGGCGTTCTGTTGGTGGCCGGAGCTTTTTTCGAGCTTTTGGAGTTCGAATTTTCACCAATTTTGCTGTAATTTCTTGCTATCTTCCTCACTTTCGACCCTCTACGAGCATTCATGTAAGTTTCCTTTGATTTTTGTCTTGAATTTTGCTTCACAGAAGTAATTTCATGAAAAACCCTTAAAAAATCAATTTGGGGATTTTTGATTTTGAGGTTTTATGTTGAAATTCTTGCCATGATTTTACTTGTATATGTATGTATGTGTGTTTGTGAGAAATTTGAGACAAAAATTACATGATTTGATGGAGAATTGAGCAAATCACCATTTTTAGGTACTACTTTGTGAAATGATGTTCATGTTATTTCTTTTGTACTTGAAATGGTGAAAAAACGGTGGTGAAGTGTTTCATGATGTGTTGATTCATTGTTTTTGTGCAACTTCGAAACAAATTTTGCGTATGTACTATATCTTCATGGAGAACATAGTATCATGCGGCTAGGAGAACTGTAGTATTAGTTTGTCATGGAGAAACTAAATACCATAATTTTGCCAATTTTTAGCCAGGAGGTAAAAATTTAGCGTATAATTCAATAAATAACTAAATAACTTAGGAAATGATGCTAAGTATTTAGATTTTTATAATAGCATGTCTAGGCGACGAGATTGCGATCTTTCTACCCTCGGCCGGCGTCGGGCTTTTCGGGAGGACACTCCCACCATTCATGAGGGTATGGACGACGATGTTTTAGAGTCCGAGCCTCGGGCATCCGCGAGTAGAGGTAGGTGGGTTCCACCTCCGTGGACTCCAGACCAGTTGTTTTTCTGCCGTGAAAACCACGTCTCTCATCGCTCACTCTCCAGCATAGTCGATGGCACGCTTCGCCACCACGGTTCTTGAGCCGGCGATTTGATCCCTCGACTTCACCAGATCATTACGAGGGATCCTGCTACGAGCGCCCTATGGGAATCGGCTGGTTTAGTAGATTTATATACGGCGGTTGTAGGGTTTCGCAGCCCCCGCGGTGCGACGGTCGTTCGAGCATTGTTGGAGTTTTTCTGGGATATTACCAACACTTTTCATTTTGCTTGGGGGAGATGACGGTGACCCCCCTAGACTTCAGTATGATCAGGGGTTGCGCTTCACCGACCGGGCTGTAGCTCAGATGTCTGATTTGTCTTGGGGATCGGCTGAGACAGCTGATTTGTTGGGTCCGATCGTTCAGTACATCAGGTCCCGACCAGTGTCTCGAGGTGGACCTAGGAGCGGACGATCGGAGCTGGCTTCAGTTTTAGCTCGTGGCTTCGACATGGAGGATACGACGGCTGAGCAGCGAGTGCGGATTTTCATCCTGATCTTGATTTCTATGACCCTTTCTCCCGATAGGAGTTCACGTGTACTCCTTTGCTACCTCCCCGCTCTGGTCAGGATCCATGAGATAGGATCCTATCGCTGGGTCATCCTTGGATACGTCGATCTCCTCTTATCGCTACGTCATGGCTGTCGGCAGCTGAATGACGAGTCTCCCATCACCGTCTATGGTCTGTGGAGAGTCGTAGAGGTGATGATCTTTTCCCTTTTTGTTTCACTTTAACTTGTTCGACTCATGTGATAAAGATTACTTTTCATCGCAGCTATGGTTCTACGAGTACTTCCCAAGCTTGGCTCCTCGCCGGCGTAGTGGAGCGGTCCATGATTTCTCTCTCGGGGCCAGCTGGCGTGATCGAGGAGAGTCGCGGGTGGAGTCTGTCCCTGCACTGCGTGGGCTGCTACGCCGAGGCACCTCTTCTGTTGGCGTAAGAATCAGTTTTGTTGCTGTTATTTTCCCTCTGACGTTGTTTCTATTGTTTCACGCTGACTTTTTATGGTTTTCAGGTTGCCATTGATGTCCAATATCATCCTTGGGCCGGGATGACTGATATTCCTGAGGCCTTGCGTCTTTCTGCGCACCGCATCATTTTGGTCGGTACCGGACGCTTTGTCTGGTATTTGGGGGAGCGAGTCGTTCATCAGCATAGCGGCGATCGTTTTGTGGTGCCCTCATCTCCACCAGAGTCGATGCTGTACTCACGCTTGATCAGAGAGTTGATCAACAGGAGAGAGCGCTATACTTTTCCATGGCAGGAGCTTGTACACATGGAGAGTAACTATGCGCGGGATTTGATTCCCTCTCTGGCTCCTCCACCCCGTCTTCCTGAGGTATGATTTCTTTTGAGGATCTTCTTTATTAATCTCTGTTTTAAATAGTCGAATAACTTGATTATTCGATCATAGTTTCAGACGACTATTCGCCCTGTGGGGAGGATCAAGATTCCTCCTCAGTCTGTTCGCTATCCAGGGTCGATTGGTATCACAGAGGACCATGTTGCTGACGCGCCAGAGGGTTACAGACAGGCGCAGGAGTCTCTGCCCGAGGTCTTTGAGCTGGTGAGTTTTCTTCGATGCATTATTCACCTTTTTAACACTGCTTGTTACTGACTTTTCTTTGTTTTATCCTCAGCCTAACCGCCCGGAGATGATGGGACTCATGAAGTTGGTTGACGCCCTGAAGTATTGCATCATCAAGCTTCGGCGTGGTGCGAGTTGTCGAACTCTAGCGACGTTCTTGAGGTATCATTCATTTTTTACTTCTACCATTTGTTTTATTTTGCAATTGTTGACACCTTTTGATTTTGTATCTTTCAGGAGCGACGGAGGTCCCGCTCGCGCTCGAGGCCTAGAGGCTTAGACGAGGAAGAGCTTGGTCATGGTAGACGATCTCCTGAGATTCGCCGGTGTTCTCATTCTCAGCGAGAGCCTCAGACTACTCAGGAGGCTCAGTGGCAGCAGCCTCAGTCTTCCCAGCGCTTTCCGTGCCAGAGTCAGGGGGCGCGACACAGTCATTTTCGCAGCCTCCGCAGCCTGAGTTTGGGTCTGTTTTGACTCCCTTGGATCCTGGTTCGTTTTCAGCTCCATTGTCCGGGATTCCTCCACCGGTGTTGGGCTTGTTCTCAGTTCCGCTGTATGGGACGATGCCTTCACCAACGATTCCAGTGTCTTTGGGCTAGTCTACACCGTTTTCCGGCTAAACGGGTCTTGCCTTGAGCTTGGCTACCGCTGGGGTTACAGGGACTAGTAGGGACACTACTCCCCGTACTCGATTGTGGAGGGACTCTTCGGTTCGCCGTTCCCATATGCACAAGATGGAGACGATACTGATTCTGGCTCTAGGGACTTTTGACCGAGGGTTTTTTATTTGTACATACTAGACACTTGACATGTTTATTTATTACGACTCTTTGTACATTATTCATGGTTTATGTATTTATTATTGTGTGTTAGTGTGTGCTTGAAACTCCTTGTGTGTGATTGTGTATTTATTAACGACGCGACGAAAAAAAAACATAAGTGGAGTAATGGAGGGTACCGACCTTCTCCAAAAGAAAAAGAAATAAAACGACGAGCAAAATAAAAATTACCTTCCCCAAAAGAAAAAGAAATAAAAATGATAATAAAATAAATGAAATTACCTTCCCCAAGACAAAAAATAAAATGATAAAGAAATGAAATTACCTTCCCCTAAATAAAAAGAAATAAAAAGACAAAAAATAAATAAAGTGATAAAGAAATAAAATCTTAAAGTGATAAATAAATAAATAAATAAAATAATAACAAGAATATAAATAAAAAAAGTGAGAATTTTATTAGAAATAAAACTCTCAGAAAAACTGAAAAATAGACGCTGAAGATAAAATACTATAAAATTCCGGATAGATACGGGAAAAGATGAAAAAAGAAAATGCGTGAAGTGCCGTGACACGGCACTGTGTACTGTGTCACGGCAGAACTTGTCGTGTCACGGCAAAAGTTCCCGTGACACGGTGGAACTTCCCGTGTCACGGGACGCGAATTACTCAGCGGTGTGTTTTACGCGTATGAAAAGATAAATTCTGGGCAGTTTCGAGCGCTTTTGCTATAAAAATAAGACCAGTTTATTCATGATATGAATAATTACGAAACACAAAATAATTTAGAATTTCATATTTTAATAATCATGTCTCAGAATTTTGATAATACATTGCGCGACTGGTCTTATTCTTTGACCAATGCTGAAAAATGAGAGTTAGAATTATTTTATGTCAGGGGTTTGCTAGCCCTGCGACACGCAGCTATTGAACATGATTTTCTTAGGGCAGCATTAGATTATTGGAGTCCAGAAACACACTGTTTCAAATTTGATTATGATGAAATATGTCCCTTGCCGGAGGAATTCGGCGCAATCTTTGGATTTCCTGCTAGAAATCTTATTGTCATGCCTACCCTACGTGAATATTATTACCAAGATTTTGAACGCCATCTGAATCTAACAGATCCAGATTTAAATAGAATTGTTTGTGGTAATGAAGTACACTTAGAAAAACTTGCTAATTTATATTTTAATCGCCCTATCTCTGAGTCTTATCATGTATATCGTAGAAGGGCATATATTTTTTGCATGTTTAGCAAGCTCTTATTTGCAAACGGTGGGGTAGGACATGCTAGTCTAGCGTCTGTGCTTGAATATGTCAAATCTGGAAGATCTCCTATGTCGACGTGCCTTAGAGAGACATTTTGTGGCCTTGACGAGGCAAAAGCTGACCGGAAAGCCATCAGGAAGGGCTCTCTTGTACTACTGCAGGTAAAAATACGCTCCGAGTAGCCCCCGTGACACAAAACAGGCACCGTGTCACGGTGGGTGTCTGCCGTGACACGTGTCACGGGAATCTGCTTGATATTTTTTTTTGCTGTCGTGACACGGGAACTTCTCCCGTCAGACGGGATGAAATCCCGTGTCACGAGAATATACGTGTTTTTTTTTTCAGATTTGGTTGATGGAGCGTTTGGAACTATTCGAAGCCCCCGACGATGTTGAAAAATATGGCCCTAACGACCTAGTCCGCAGGAAAAAGAATTACTCTGCAAACATGTCGTATGAAGATTGGAAAAATTTCTTTGCAAAGAGGGAATTTTCCATTCGTTGGGTGGTGCCTTGGTGGAGGCTTACTAGGATGGTTGGCACGAATGAAACTCCATATTGCCGTATTCCTACTATCTCCAAACTGACCTTTTATTGTCCCTCTCGACTGATGCGGCAGTATGGACTTGAACAAGTAATTCCACGCTATAACGATAGTCCTCGTGAAGTATCGTTGCATGAAAGTAACGTTCACAAGTACGAGGCTTATTGGATTGGAAGACCTTTGTGGACCGTTTCTGCAAGTGACTAAGCTCCTCCTCCTTTATCTAGTGCATACAAGACATGGTTGAACCCTAAAAGTAGGAGGGAACGATTTGGATCACGCAAGTCTGATGTGAAGAGTCATCTTGGAAATAAGAAAGCTCCTCCTAAAGATCGTCTAGGTCCGAGAACACAAGGGATTGAGTTTAAGACTCCTATAATGCCAAGAAAGAAGAATTATGTGAAAGGGAAGGGTAAAGAAAAGATGGTTTATAGGGAGAAACAACCGAAAAAATTACAAAAAGGTGAAAGGGGTGAAAGTTCGACTAGGGGTGTGAAGGTTCGGGCTACGAAAGACACATTAATGGTGAAGGCCGACCTAATTGACCAAGAGATGGATGTTCCTAAAGAGAAGAGAGATTAGATCAATAGTGCTTTGCTTTTTATGATTTAATTATTTTTTTTTAAAAAAAAGGCATATGAGGCCAATACTTGTAGTCGCATTTATATTAATAATAACAAAAATTACAATGACTTTTATTTATTATTTTATCCGAGTCAAGGAGTCGGACGCAATGGAAGATCGAAAATAAAAACTCGAACAAGGAATCCGCAACGAATGCGCCACTATTCTAAAAATTAAACGGAAAACTGAAATTCCACCGTGTCACGGTGAAAGGGTCCTGTGACACGGTACAAATTCCCGCGTCACGACAATTTTCCCCCCTTTTTTTTTTGCCGACAAAAGGTGACGTGGCACGGGAACTTCTCCCGTTAGACGGGATAAAATCCCGTGTCACGGGAATTTCCCTTCCCCTTTTTTTCGTTTAGGCCCACCGTGTCACGGTGAACAATACCGTGACACGGTGGGATGTCCCGTGTCGCGGCAATTTTCCTTCTTTTTTTTTTTTTTGGTCGTGACGCAATGCTGAACTGACGCACATATTTGATCAACAGAGGGAGGATTTTTTTATTTTAAAGTGGTCGGGCCCCCTTGAGGGGTTGCCTACGTATCCTAAAAAGGAATCAGGCCAAACGTAGCTCTATTGGGTCATGAACCCATGTGACTAGGCATAGAATTTCTTGAGTTGATCCAAGTTGGTTAAATTATGGAAGCTGTTACCGTCCATGTCTACCAATTGTGCCACTCCGCCAGACAAGATGGCTTTAACAATGTACGGGCCTGACCAGTTCGGTCTGAATTTTCCTCTTGGATCTAACACATTTTTACGAAGTGCCTTAAGCACTAGGTCACCCTCTTTGATATTTCTGGTCTTGACTTTTTTTATTAAAATGTCGTGCCATACGCTGTTGGTAGGTTTGGACATGATGCAAAGCTGCCAAGCGTTTTTCATCAAGCAAGACCAGTTCATCGTATCTTGCTCTAATCCAGTCGACTTCATCTAGTTGACTTTCCAATGCGATTCGAAGAGAAGGGATTTTGAGCTCGATTGGTTGTACAGCTTCAACTCCATAAACCAAAGAGAAAGGGGTAGCCCCTGTTGATGTACGAACAGAGGTTCGATAACCCCAAAGGGCGAAATGTAGCTTACTTGGCCAATCCTTGTAATTTTCTGTCATCTTTTCAATGATAGCTTTCACATTTTTGTTGGCCGATTCGACTGCTCCGTTTGTTTGTGGTCTGTAAGGTGATGATCTGTGATGCTTGATATGATATTTCTGTAATAATTCCATGCATTCATCTTGGAAATGTGTTCCATTATCACTGATCATCTCATGTGGTACCCCATAGCGGCATATGATATTTTTCTCAATGAATTGAGCTACGTGGTTTTCCGTCAGCTTGGCATATGAGGCAGCTTCGACCCATTTGGTGAAGTAGTCGATTGCTACGAGAATGAATTCATGCCCCCCTTGTCCTGGTGGTGTTATTTTTCCAATCATGTCAATGCCCCAAGTGGAGAAAGGCCATGGAGAAATATACGTGTAGAGAAGCGAAGGTGGAACATGCTGTAAGTTTGCATAGACTTGACACTTCATACATTTCTTGACGTATTCGTGACAATCTCTCTCCATAGTAGTCCAATAGTAACCTTGTCGTTGAATCTTTTGGACTAACATCTTTGCATTCATGTGTGTTCTACATATACCAGCATGAAGGTTTTCCATGGTTTTATGTGCTTCTTTCTTGGCTATGCATAAGAGATTTCTTCCCATTGCAGTTCTCTTGTGGAGTTCTCCCCTGATGAGCACACACTGTGAGGCCAGGAGCCTCAAAGCACGGCGTGCCCTTTTATCAGTATTAGGAGGGTATTCTCCTCTTGTCACATAATTAAGGATGTCCGTAT